TAATCCCTTCGGCTGACTGCTCTTCTCTCTGGCTTCCTGGCTTTTAATCCCCTTTCTCCTGCTCTTCCCGCTTGCTACTTCAGGCGTCCCTGAGTTGTCTCTCCTCACCTGTAAGCCTGGGGCTGACTGCTCTTCTGTCTGGGTTCCTGGCTTTTTATCCCCTTCCTCCTGCTCTTGCGGTCTGCCACTCTGGGCGGGCCTGAGTTGCCTCTCCTCACCTAATCCCTTCGGCTGACTACTCTTTTCTCTGGCTTCCTGGCCTTTAAACCCCTTTCTCCTGCTCTTCCCGCTTGCTACTTTGGGCGTCCCTGAGTTGTCTCTCCTCACCTGTAAGCCTGGGACTGACTGTATGGCTGGGAGGTGGATAATTACCTAGTGAGCAGTGGAAAGCCTCTGGTGACCTACTGTATGAGTGGAGAGAGTAGAATAATAGTACTTGCATTTGGCAGTCACTAAGCTGTAGTTTGTAAAGTGAATTGCTGAGAGTTGGGAGGAGTATATAAAAGTAGATTGAGTGAGAAATTAAGTCCAGTTAAGATAACAGTACTCAGAGTATGAAGATTGAAAAAATGGAGAGATGGGAAGTACGTGAAAGGGATTATTGATGTCTTGGTAATGGTTTGGATAGACAAAATTCTGAGGGACATGATTTAAGGTGTGGTTCATGGTTTCTGATTTGTATATGTGAATGACAGTGAATCCATTCATTATAATAGTGAACTTTAGAAGACTTTGTGACAAGGAGAAAGCATGTGTTCAGCTTTTGTATGTGTTGATTTTGAAATATGTTTTATATATTCACCAATGGTAGGTACAGATTTTTATATTAATTTTTCCCAAGACATGATTTGTGCTTTTTCATTAATAGCATTTCATTTATTGTTTCACGTTCTAGTCCTTCTACTCCAACCCCCACTTTTTGGAATCCTTTCTGTCCTTAAATGCTTCTTGTTAAGCAAACTTTCCTTGTTTCTCTTGTAACATTTATATTTTGCTTATATTTGAGGAGCCTTGTTGGTTAAAGTGCTTGGCTACTAACCAAAAAAAGTCAGCAGTTCAAACCCACCAGCAGCTCCATGGGTGAAAAGACCTGGAATGATTACAGCCTAAGAAACCCTGTAGGCAGTTCTGCCCTGTCCTGTAGGATCACTATGAATCCAAATTGGCGCACACATCAACCAATATTAACTTTACTTGTATAATGATGTTGTTGTTGTTATGTGCCATCGAGTTGGACCCTACTCATAGTGACCCCTCCTTGAGTTTCCAAGACAGTATCACTACAGAAGTAGATTGCCCCATCTTCCTTCTAAGGATTGGCTGGTGGGTTTGAACCGCCAGCCTTCTAGTTAGCAGTCAAATGCCTTAGGCACTAAGCCACCATCCCCTAATTATGTACTATATTGTTTGAGCTTTGGAACTTTTATCATGCTTATCATAACTTCTGGACACTCAGCAAAGGCTTCATAATTTGTGCTTTATAAAATGCTTTGTAAAACCTACCAGGAAATAACTGAATTAGATTTATGATAAAAAGTATAGGTTAGCTAATATTCTTACAGTACACCTGTTCATATTTACCAAATAATACCATATGTGTAAATTTAACTTCATGATGTTAATCTTTTTGTTTGTTTTTTGTTTTTTTGCTTTCCCACCCCTGTTAAGCTTGAGTGTTTTATTTGTATGCACTCATAGATTATTGTTATTACTCTTACTCTTATTGCAGGATTGGGTATGTTACAGTTTTTAACTATATTGCCTTTAACTCTTGTTAAATCATTATAAGGTCCTTATAAGGTCTGTAAGTGGCACAGTTACCCAATGCTCATATAACTGGTATAGACTAGGTAGTTAAATAAACTTTCTATAAAGGACTACACAGAAAATATTTTGGGCATTGTGGACCATATAGGGTCCCTGTTGTATACTCTTTGTTTTACAAAAGGCTATAGCCAGATTGGCCTGCTAGTTGTACTTGTTAACTTCCCAGTCTAAACAATGAATCTACATATCCTTATTTGATACGTGTTTCTCCTTTCCCTATTATTATAAAAATGTTTTTCTTTTTATGAGGTTTCAATTTGTTCCTTAATAAACTTTCACAGAAAATCCAGTCCTACCAAAAAAAGATTACTATACCTGAATTACTGTCACGAAAACAGGCAACCAGGTATTTTGTGTCTTTGATATGATGCAACTAGAAATACACCTCTTTTGAGGTGTTTTTAAAAAGTAGAGTCCTTTTCTTTTAGAGATACAGTAAATATAGTATTGCCTTTATTTTGGAGATAAATACTGAAATTTTTACAGATGAAAAGAATTTGGTTTATGATAATCCAGTGAGGCTTCAAGGGCTAGTTGAGGGTATAGATTAGGAGTTAGCAAACTTTTTCTGTAAAGGACCAGTGTGATGGTTAAGTTTGTGTGTCAACTTGGCTTGGCCTGGTTGAGTGGCTGAGCAGCTGGATGTTGTATTCCCCATGATGAGACTGGTGACCAACTTCATGGTGGAATCTACTGTGAGCAGCTGAGTAGTTGCCTTAGGGAATGTGATCTGCTTTCTGTATATAAGCAGAAGCCTTGGGGAATGGTCTCTAGCTTATGGCACCTTGAACACTGCATGTAGCCATGTCGTTGTTTAGCAGCCTGCCATGCTTTGCCAACTTTGGGACTTTCGGTAGACTTGAATGAATGGCCTGCAGTGTGGTTTGATAACATCAGGACTTTGCCATTTTATTTGTCGACCTTGGGCTTGTCAGCCTCAGCAGCCAGTAGCTGCCTGAGTGAAGAGATGCCTCTAGCTTCAGTGAGCCAGGAGCAAGAGACAGAGCTGAAGCCCAAGGTTGAGGGGCTTTCACATAGCGCCTAGAGCCTGGCACTTTGAACTTGGACTTAACGTCTCCAAACTGTAAGAGAATTAACTCCTGTTTGTTAAGGCCATCCCATTGGTGGTATATTGTTGTCAGAGCGGCACTAGGTAACCAAAACAGAATATGGTACCGAGAGAGTGGGGTGCTGCTCTGACAGATACCTAAAATGTGGAAACAAGAGTGGAGAGTGTCCTTGACCCGAGACCCTGGCAGAGAGACCCCAGCAGAGAGACCCCGGCATACGGTATGAGAGACTGCAGGACCAGAGCCTAGAGACTGGCTTGAGAGACGGCAGGAACAGAGCTGAGAGATGAGCATGAGAGACGGCAGTAGCAGAGCCCAGAGACCAGCATTAAACAAAAACAGGCTTACCAGCCCATGGAGGAGAAAGCCGGGTGCCATTGGGTAGGCAGCTTCCTGGCAGAGTGGGTTGCCTTCAGACATTAATTGGTAGAAGAGACCAGCATGAGATGGAGTATCAGGTTGGCCAGCCCACGGAGCAAGAAAGCTAACTGTCCTTTGGGCAGGAAGATATCCAGTGGAGTGGATTGCCCTCAGACATTAATTGGCAGAAGTGGAGAGACCAAGGAAACAGGAAGCAGAGCTGCCTCAGCCTCAAGGGTAGGACCATAGCCTTTGGGGGTGGAACCACCATAGCCCCCTAGGTTTCAAAGAGCCAGACCTTCACCAACTTGGTTCTGAAGTGTAAGACTGCTCTTTCATGTGAGCTGGTGGGATGGAGTCATAGCTGCTACCCAAGGGTGAGGTCACCACTCAGGAACTAGGGGACTGGAATCACCCGGTGAAGGAGATCTGTACAGTTGCCAAGTTGACAAGGGGTAGAATTATGGTGGTTAAGTTTGTGTGTCAACTTGGCTGTGCCTGGTTGAGTGGCTGGGCAGCTGGATGTAATATTCCCCGTGATGAGACTGGTGATCAAGTCCATGGTGGAATCTACTGTGAGCAGCTGAGTAGCTGCCTTAGGGATGTCATCTGCTTCCTGTGTATAAGCAGCAGCTTTGGGAATGGTCTCTAGCTTACAGCACGCTTGAACCCTGCCTGTAGCTGTGCCATTGTTCAGCAGCCTGCCATACTCTGCCGACCTTTGGACTTTTAATGGACTTGAATGACTGGCCTGCTGTGTCATTGGGTAATATCGGGACTGTGCCATTTTATTTGTCGACCTTGGGCTTGTCAGTCTCAGCAGCCAGTAGCTGCCTGAGTGAAGAGATGGCTCTAGCTTCAGTGCCAGGAGCAAGAGACAGAGCTGAAGCTCTGGTCGAGGGGCTTTCACACAGCCCCTTGAGCCTGGCACTTTGAACTCAGACTTCTAGCCTCCCAAACTGTAAGAGAATAAACTTCTGTTTGTCAAGCCATCCCATTTGTGGTATATTTCCTGTCAGAGCGTTACTAGGTAACAACCAGTGTATATTTTAGGATTACAGGCCATATTGTCTCTGTTGCAACTACCCAGCTCTGCCATTGAATTGCCGGAGCAACCATAGATGATAAGTAAATGAGTAAGTGTGACTATATTCCAATAAAACATTATTTACAAAAATAGGGCCAGATTTGGCCTGTTGGTTATAGTTTGCCAACCCTTGGTATGAATGAAATAAGATTGGCTATGTGTTGGTAATTGTTAAACCTGGGTGATAGTTCATGGGTTATATTATACTGTTGTCATTACTGTCATACATGTTTAAAATAGTCCATAATAATAAGTTAAAACAGGTTTCTTTCAAAGATCAGTACAAAGGAAAGACTCTGTGTATTTAAACTTATTCATAAAAGTTGTTTCATCTCTTTCTTTTGACATGATTTCTTACACCAGCTTCACTACAGTCTTCAGTGCAACAATATGAAGAAAAAAACACCAAAATCAAGCAATTGCTTGTGAAAACCAAAAAAGAACTGGCAGATTCAAAGCAAGTGGTATGTTTTTCAGTTTTAAATTTAAAACCGGTTCATAGTGTGTTTATGAATAAGTTGTTGTTGTTGTTGTTTGTTTTTAATTTTAAACCAAGATTCTCATTCTATAGGAAACTGATCACTTAATTCTTCAAGAATCTTTAAGAGGCGAGTTGGAGGCAAGCCAGCAGCAAGTTGAAGTCTATAAAGTAGGTTCTTTTTACATTTTGGGAAGACTTAGAAATTTTTCTTGGAGAAGTAAGATACCATTTAGTGACTTTTCTAAATATTCTATAAGGCACTATTACTTAACATTTTTAGGAAGTAGAAGCAGTAAATTATGTATGGCATATAAATGGGATACTGTCTAGATGGATTATTTTCAGGTATTTGAAAGTCCATAATAGAGCAAAGAATATTGCAAAAATAAACATGGTCCCAAACCTGCATGTGAACTTACTGAATGATATTGCAGTGACAAGAATCAGTTTACAAAATTAAAAGTACATTACTATCTTGCAATATTTAAACAAGGAAATGTAACATGTAGTCTAGGATTTTTTTAATGATTGGTTTTTTTATTAATGGAAAATTGATTTTGGTTTAAGGAAAACTAAATTACTTATTTTATTGAGAAAATCATCTCCTGCTCTTATTTTATCATTAACAAAACCAAAACCAAACTCACTGCTGTCGAGTCAGGTCCAACTCATGGCTACACCTTTTTAGTTTCCATGGCATTATCACTACGGAAGTAGATTGCCCAACCTTCCTTCCGAGGAATGGCTGGTCGGTGACTTCTGATTAGCAGTCGAAAGCCTAGTGCCTAAGGCATATGACTGCTAACTAGAAGGCTGACGGTTCAAACCCACCAACTATTCCTGAGCAATCTGATTGTCACTATGAGTCAGATCCAACTCGATGGCAGTGAGTATTTATCACTAGATAAAAATATTCAACTATTTAATTATGTTTATTATATATACTTAAGTCTCAAACCTCAAGTTTGTGTTTTAAGGAAAAGCTGTTTAACCAGTGTACTCCTGATTGGCTAGAGCTTAATTTAAAGACTTTTGTCCTAGATTCAGCTAGCAGAAATAACATCTGAGAAACATAAAATTCATGAGCATCTGAAGACCTCTGCAGAACAACACCAGCGCACACTGAGTGCTTACCAACAAAAAATTGCAGCCTTACAAGAGGAGTGCCACACTGCTAAGGTACTGCATGTCACAATTATTATCAACTAGTAAGCAGTTTACTCAAGGACTGTGTTCTCAATTTTTAGAGTTTTACAGTTACTTAAGAGCATTAGCTTAAATGGATTTTTGTTGTTGTTATGTGCCATTGAGTCAGATCCAGCTCATAGCAACCCCTCCTTGGGTTTCCAAGGCAGTATTGCTATGGAAGTAGGTTGCCCAACCTTCCATCTGAGGAGTGGCTGGTGGGTTTGAACCGCCAGCTTTCTGGTTAGCAGTCAAGTGCCTTAGGCACTACTCTACCAGAGCTCCCCCACTTCAATGGACACTCCTTCAAATCATATGACCCTAACCCAGTCCACATCTCCAACCATAACCATCATGAGGATGTACTGTTTTCCATTTCAACCTTGTTTTGCAATTTTTCTTTTTTTAATAATTTATTTTGTTGTTATTGAGTATATACACAGCAGAACATACACCAATTCAACAGTTTCGATATGTACAATTCAGTGACATTGATTCATTATTCAAGTTATGTAGCCATTCTTACCTTCATGTTCTGAGTTACCTCCCCCATTAATATAAACTCACTGCCCCCTAAGTTTAAAGTTACTGTTTATAATTTGACTGCACACCGATAGTTCTCGAAAGAGCATAAAACACAAGGCATACTTTTTTACTACTTAAGCTAAATTATTGTTCAGTTTTAAGATGACTTCAGGGGATATTTTGGTTTGTGTTTTAAAGATTATCTTAGGACATTAGTTTCAGGGGTTTGTGCAGTCTCCATTGCTCCAGAAAATGTGGATTCCATGAGAATTTGAAATTCTCTTCTACAGTTTTGCCTTTTTGATCTGTATTCTTCTATAGAATCTTTGATCAAAATATTCAGTAATGGTAGCCGGACACCAACTAGTTCTGGTCTCACGGAAAAGGAAGAAGTTGTTCATGGGGGCATTTAGCTACACATTCTGTTTTCTCCTCGTCTTCCTGACTCTGCTTCTTCCTCTCTTGCTCCACGTGAAGAGAAACCAATTGTTATGCCTTGGATGCCTGTTTATAAGCTTCTAAGACCCTAGATACTACTCAGTGACCTAGAAAGTGGAACAGAAACATTCACCACATAATTAGTCCAGTTAACTGGGATGTTCCATGAAATCATGACCCTGAGCACCCACCCAAGGAACCAAATCTGGGAGGTGTTTGGTTGTACTTAAGCAGCCTCAGCATGTACTCTCTTATTTTTGTTAGTGTTGTGAATTTTCACACAACTTTTGCCGATTCAACTTTTTATAGGTGGACAGCTTATTGACAGCAATTTCATTAATTAGCTGTGCAACCTGACCCTTAACCTATGTGATTTTCTGTCACCATAAATCAAAAAAACTGCATAAGCAATAACCTTGCACTCTCTATTCCCTTATCCTGCTGCCCCTGATAACTACTAATAAACTTTGGATCTATACATTTACCTGTTCTTGTCTTGTCATATAAATAAGCTCATACAATATTTGTCTTTTTGTGATTGATTTATTTCACTCAGCAGAATGTCTTCCACCTTTATCCGTGTATTAAGACTTTATTTCTCTTACTGGCTGAGTAGTATTCCATTGTATTTATGTACCACATTTTTTTTTCAATCCACACATCCATTGATGAGCATTTAGATGCTTTCAACCTTTGGGTATTGTGAATAGTACTGTAGTGAGCATTGGTGTACAAATTATCTATTTGAGTCTCTGCTTTCAAATCTTTTATATCTACGAATGGAATTACTGATCTTACATGGTAGTTCTGTTTTTAGTTTGCAACTCAATTTCTTTTCATTGTTTTTTCTTATATTTATAAAAAGAAAAATAATCGTTAAGTGAAGATCTTTTAAGTTTCAAAGACAGATAGTTCTATTACAGAATGTATGGGTCCTAAATTCTAAAGAAAACATGGTAGAAACATCTTCTCCCAGGAAACTGTATCATTCAAAGATCACTTTTTTTAAAATTTAAGGCCAATAGAAGTACACTTTTTAGTGAAATTAAGCAATGGGTTAAAAAGAATATCAGCCACTTATTTTCAAAAACAGATTTTCATCTCAATTCATTAATCTCAAAGAAAATAGTAGTGTCATGTTGCTATAGAAAATGCAATAGAGACAGTGCAGGAGTTCCGGCAAGATGGCAGACTAGACAGAAGGACTGCACAGACCCTCTTCAACAAAGAAAAGGGAAACCAATTAACACAGACACAGAAGATAATCTTGGACACCTGAGCCTTAAAGGGAGGGATACAGAAGTGGACTACACCCCAACTAGCAGAAGAATTTGAGTGAAAATACCAAAAAAAGGAGACATAC